GAAGGTTGAAGAGTAAACAAAATATTAAAGGAGTAAATCATATAGTTTGATGAGGTGTCTGAGGTGTACCGTGCCGTGCACTCCATTKTGTAGCAGATACACAACCTTTCACATAGAGAAGTCTCTTGCATGCATGTTATGACATAGGTGGGCGAAGGGTAACGAAATTCGTTTCAGTTGCTTAATTATTATTCAAGTTGCCAACCAGAAATCCATTGGACAATCCAACGAAACAAAGTTACAAAATATATTGATAGAAAGGATATTCAATTGTCAGTAGCTCATACAGGGGCTCGAGAAAAAATCCGAATCCACCTGTTTTTTAGAATGGTTGGCACATTAACATCAAAATGACGGTGTTTATAAATATATGACATCCACCTATACCTCTTAGTTCTTCCCATACATTTCCATCTTGATTGAAGGCTATAACAGTAGTTTTATAACCATATTCTTTTCCAGGTCCAGAATGCATTAAAGTCACAGTGATAGGCTCATTGAGTTCCACAGTCTTACTGGAAGTCAATTCCAGGAAATAACTATAACTCGTAGTTATTCCTGCCATGGGCGGTTGACAGCGACAAGGGTCAACTTTGTATTTGACTTTAACTGGTGTGTTCACGGCATTGCGTGGAACTTCAAGAAAAAAGAAGTCGCTTGAGAAATCATAGTATCCTCCTTTGTCGTCTCTGTAAAGCAACGATACCAACACAATATTAATTAGGAATACCAGTTAGAGAAGTAAACACGATAATAAAACAAAAACAAAAAAAGGAATCAGTAACGCTTACAGTGTTATTACGTCTGCGGTCTCCTCTCCAGGATGAGGATCAGCATCAGTATCCTTCTTCTTTCCAGCATCAGCGTCCATCTCCTTTATTGCAACAATACAAAAGAAACGTGTATGACGAATGCAGATTTAACATCCAAAACTGTCTTTTACACCACTAAGACGTTTTTGACTTTGAATTTGCATACAGTTCGCGCGGGTATGTGCTGACGTTTACACTTGGAAGGAAATATATATACAACAATGCATGGAAGCCAGTGAGTATAACAATTGCTCACTTATACTACCAGTATATTATTTTCAATTCCTAGGATCCTCCTAGTTTGTGCAATGCCTTGATGTTTTCATTGTGTTTACTAACTACAGATCTTTTATGGCTGAACTAAAATATTTCCTTACCTTGCAAATTTTCTCCATTTTTGGTCCATACTTTTCCAGTTTGCCTTTCTCGTCCAGGTCCTCACACATTCCTTTAAGTTTATCACAAATTCTTTTTCTTACAACACTGTGGTTGTCTTCAGGTAAAGACTCCTCCATTACAAAAGCCTCTTCATAACTTCCTAGGGCTGCTTCATAGTCACCTTTAAGTTCATGAATGACCCCAATCAGGTACAGAATCCTCACGGTCTCTGGGTGCTTACCAAGGAGCGCGTTTCGTATTTTGAACGATTTCCCCGAAAACACAAGGGCCTGGTCATACTTTTCAAGTACGATAAGAATGTTTGCAAAGTTTCTTTGGAACGTTGCTGTGTGGACTGTGTCATTTACTCCAAGTTC